CAACATGAACTGCATATGCTATGTCTGGGCGTGTCGTAGTAAGATAAACCAAACTACCAACCAACTGCCGATAACAAGTAGGGTCAGGGAGTGGGGAACCATCTAATGGTGTGAGCTTGACATTCGGTTCAAGAGGTGTGGAGACATTCTTACTATCAATGAGATCGGCTTTAGATATGAGATCTGATGCATATTTCATTTGAGAGAGAAGATAACCAGCATCTGAGGATGTAACTTCAAGTCCCAAAAAATAACTCAAGGAGCCAAGGTCTTTCATCTCAAATCTGTGGCTGAGAAACTGCTTAAGCTCATCAATCCCTGAAACATCATCTCCAGTGATAATCATATCATCAACATATATGAGTAAGAGAACCATTCCCTGAGCAGATTTACGAACAAATAAAGCTGTATCATGTGGACTAGAGTTGAAACCAAACTCACTTACAGTAGAATTGAATTTTGCAAACCAAGCTCGAGGAGACTGCTTTAAACCATACAAGGCTCGTCGCAATCGACATACCTTATTCAAAGGAGGAGTAAGTCCAAGAGGCGGTTTCATATAAACCTCATCTTCCAAATCACCATTAATAAAGGCATTCTTTACATCCATCTCAAACAGCTTCCATTTACGTACAGCAGCAATAGCTAGTAAACTACGTACTGTGGTAAGACGAGCAACAAGAGCAAAGGTCTCCTTATAGTCAATGCCATATTCCTGTGTAAAACCCTTTGCCACCAGACGTGCCTTATAGCACTCCACAGATCCATCAGAATGAGTTTTGATCTTGTATACCCACTTGCATCCAACAAGAGTCTTATCAAGAGGAAGATCAACCAAGTCCCAAGTACCTGTCTTTTCCAAAGCCTGTAATTCCTCGTTCATAGCTTGCTGCCATAAAGGATCTAAAGAAGCTTCCTTGTAGGACTGAGGTTCATGTAAAGAGGTGAGTGCGGAAAAACAATGATAATCTTGAAGATATGTAGGTGGATTTCTTACTCACGTAGGATGACTAGAAGAGGAAGTAACTGGTGGATTTTCAATCTCATTTGTTCTAGGTGCAATATCTGCAGAAGAGACATCTTCTGAAACAGGAGCCATGGAAGTTTGATCATTTGAAGGCTCATTAGGAGATCCTGCGTCATCATTAGGAAATAACTCAAGGGATGGGTTAGTGAAGATAGGAGGGTGATGAGAAGGAGACACCTTGAATTCAGAAAGAGAAGCAAACATAGTGTGTTCCCAAAAAACAACATGACGAGAGACACGAAGTTTTTGTGATATTGGATCCCAACAACGATAACCTTTATGTTGTATCCCATACCCCAGAAAACAACAAAGTCGAGCTCGAGGCTCTAACTTGTGATGTTCATGAGAAGGTAAAAGAACAAAATAAGCACAACCAAAAATTTTAAGAAGATCATAGGCAGGAAGAATACCGTAAAGACACTCATAGGGAGATTTATTTTGTGTGATGATAGAGGGGACTCGATTTATGACATAGACAGCTGTAAGTGCAGCTTCACCCCAAAAACGCTCAGGACATGAAGAGGAAATCAAGAGAGCATGAACCAAGTCCAAAATATGACGATGTTTTCGCTCAACCCGCCCATTTTGTTGAGAGGTATATGAACAAGATCTTTGTTGTATTGTGCCTTGCTCTTTAAGAAAAGATTGAAATTTAGAATCGAGATATTCAAGAGCATTATCAGTTCTCAAGACCTTGATAGTTTTAGAGAATTGAGTCTTGATCATATTAGCAAACTCAACATAAATTTGAGGTAATTCTGAGCGTTTTTTCATCAAATAGAGCCAAGTGAAGTGAGAATGATCATCAATAAATAACACAAAATATTTTGAACCACCCATGGTAGGAGTGGGAGATGGCCCCCATATGTCAGAATGTACTAAATCAAAAGGTGCAAGTGAAATGGAATCACTTTTATTAAAAGATAAAACAGGCTGTTTAGCAACTTGACATGAGACACAATGTAAAGACTCTTCTTTAATAGAACCTAAAGACCCATTTTGAATTAAAGGACGAAGTTTACTAATAGAGGCATGACCAAGACGAAGATGCCACAAGTGCAAGGAGGAAGATGTTGAGATGGCACACAATTGGGAAACGTAACTAGAAGGGATGTGCAAAGAGGTGAGCTCAAACAAACGTCCAACTTTACGGCCTATCCCAAGAAGTTGTCCCGTCTGTGGATCCTGCACACGACAACCATGAGTAGAGAATATTAGTTCAAGACCAAGTTCACACAGTTGTCCCACAGAAATAAGATTGAAAGTAAGTTTTGGTATTAGGAAAGTGTTTGGTAAGGTAAGGGTAGAAGTAGAAACTTGACCATATTGGCTAACTTGCATTTGTGAACCATCAGCAGTATGGATATGAGGTGCGGAGGTGTGAGGAGTTAATGTAGAAAAAAGTGTAGAGTTTGAGGTCATATGTTACAACAACCTGAGTAAAAAATCCAAGAAACTTTACCTGGGATGGTAGACAAGGTAGTAGATGTAGAGGAAGATGATATCATCTGTCTAAGAAGGGTTTCTAGATTGCCAATCGAAGGATGGACTGAGGTATCCTCATTGGCAGTAGCTGCAACAACCACAGGCTTGGAAGACTGATTAGGCTTTGATTGGGTCTTCCACTTATCAGATCTCTGAGGTAGTGAAGTACAATTAGGCGCAATATGGCCTTTCTGCTTGCATTTATGACATTCTATCAAATTGCATTCATATAGAGCATGTTCGTACTTGTTACAGTGCCGGCAATACTTCTGTCCTCTCTTACTCGAAGGAAACTTGTTGATAGCTGCAGCCACAGTAGTATCTCGTTGAGGCTTAAGTAAGCCCAGACGAGTTTCATCAAATAATAATCGTGAGAGAGCACGATCCAAGGTAGGTAAAGGAGACTGATGCAATAAAGAGGCTCTGCATGGTTCAAAATCATCAGTAAGTGCCATAAGAAATTGAATTAACCTCATTTTATCACGATACTCAATGTACTTCCCAATATCAGCAGTGTCATTGAAGGTTGGTTCTGAGAGAGCAAGCTGATCCCAAATAGCCTCCATCTTAGCATAAAAACTAGTAATGGACTCTCCACGTTCTTGTTTCAAAGTGTGTAATTCTTCCCACAATTGATATTGACTGGATAAATCAGAAGTGGTATACTTGGCTGCAAGCAAATCCCACACTTCCTTAGCTGTTTCATACCGTCCAAACTGAAGATGAATGGAAGGAATTGAGGTGTTACGAAACCAAGTGATGATCTGATGATTTTTTCTATCCCAATCCTCTAGACGATCAACATACTTCTTATCTGTCTCATCAGTAACTTTCTGTGGAAGTGTAATGTCACCAGTAATGTACCGCCATAATTTCCGACCCTTCAAGAAACTGCGCATACTTTGAGCCCAGAGTATGTAATTTGAGCCATTTAAAATGGTTGAAATTGGCTGGGAAATATCAGATTTCTCCATAATAATAAAAAATATGCTGTAAATAAAAGAAAATCTGACCAAGCAGAACACCAAGTCGAAGTGGAACTCTGGAAAAAAAATGGAAGCAATTTCGGAAGCCAAAGATCTACACAGCGGTAATTTTGGCTGATATATGGCTGATCTGCAACTCCGAAAAATCTCCGTGAAAGACCAGAGAAAACTAGTAGAAGAAACAGCAGCAATCACAGCAGCCAAATCCGGAACCGATATATGGCTGGAAACACGCGATGGTTGCCGGCACAAAAAATATGAAGAAGAATTGGAGGCACAAAACCTCAAGAAGAACGACAGACAATAAAGAGCTTAGAAAGCTCTGATACCATGTGAGGAAATAAGCAGGGGAGAAAAATATGAAGAAAATACTTTTTTTTGATTCATTTGAATATACAAAGTGCTTATTTATAGGCCTGTACAAGAGAATATTCTATGATACAAAATCAATTAATTTAATTATGTCAATCAATTATAATATGAATATAATCATAGCAATGTGGACATAATCAAGGGAGAATATTTTGTAACAGAGAAAATTTGAAGCCGATCAAAATTATAATTGATGGGCTGAGTTTGATTGAATTTTAGATTTTTAATTAAAAACTAAATTAAATCAATTTCGAATGGTTTGTATTTTATTTGCTAAGTTAAAAAAAAAAAAGAAAAAAAGAAGCTATGATTACAGCGAATATAACTGAAAATTTTGGCTTAAAAAATTTTTATATAAATTTTGAAAAATGATTAATATATGCTTAGTTTAATACAGTTTTTGATACTTGTCTCAGTTTAATTATTAAAATATAATATAAATACAATTGATTTAGTCTATTTCTGTATTCTATATGTATGACTATATTTTAAAATTTATAATCCTTTATCTTTATATATGCCTTTAATTTCAGTCTAGAAAATAATAATTTTTTAATGACTTTGTTATACAATATATTAAATTAAAATATGTACTAATCATTGTCTGTAAATTTTTTAATGATTTCTAGATTTATTTTAGGTTTTCTCAT